TGAGCTTATGGTTGTGTTTTTCTATTTGTATGAAGTGTTGGATGCAGCATAAAAGATTTCTCATGCTAAGATTCCAATATGGTTATTGACTTTTTAATGGATGCATTGTTCTATAGATTTCTCATGCTAAGATGGTTATGGAAGCTGCAGAAATGACTTCAAGTTGGAAAAGAGAAGAAGTTCAAAGAAGGCCAGAAAATTGTTGATCAAATGTTGTATGAAATAATCACATCCAAACACAGAGTGCAATGCTAGAGCATTAACAGTAGCATCCTAGCTGATGAGTCAGGGTTGAACTTGCTAAATGCTCTTATGAATGCAGAAGGAAAGGGAAAAATAGATGATATATAAGTTTCTTAGAGACACAGCAATGAATCTTCTTGCAGCTGGAAGAGACCCAATTAGTGTAGGCCTCACTTGGAAGCTAAGATTCTTGAAGAGATCAGAGAAAATTTACCAGAAAAAGAAGGTAATTGGAAGGATTTAGGTGTGGAAGGGCTTAATGGGTTAGTTTACCTTCATGCATGTATATGTGAAGCCTTAAGGCTTTATCCTCAAGTTCCTTTTGAGCACAAATGTGCATTGAAATCTGATATTCTTCCAAGTGGTCGTAGGATTAATTCAAATACCATGATAATATACTCTTTGTCCTAAGTGGGAAGGTTGGAGGAAATATGGGTAGAAGATTGCTTGAAATTTAGACCAGAGACATGGATTTCTAAGAGAGGAGAGATTATTCATGTACCCTCTTCCAACTTCCAAGTTTATTGTTTTCAATGCTGGACCAAGAAGTCGTTTGGGTAAGAACATAAGCTTCACTCAGATGAAGACTGTTGCTGCTTCTATATTGTGGAAGTATCACATCCACGTCATCGAAGGCCATCCATATCTCCAAGTATGTCTGTTTTCCTTCATATGAAACATGGCTTGAACGTTATGGTGACAAAAATGAAGCATTTGATCAAGGGATCTCACTTCAAAATAAGTGGTTGTGTTCGTCTCTCTACATGCAATGTTTGTTTGAAATGTTAAAATTTAATACTTTGTATTTTCGGGTGTATACGTAGCCTTTGTTCATGTTTGTTTCGTTCCCCACTCCACCCCTAATGTCAAGGTATAAATATCTATAATTTATTAGTCGTTTAATGTTTAACGACTCAAAATTTATTTGGAAAATAAAGAAAAATAATGAAATCGTCATTAATTTTATTTAAATGGAGAAAATTGGAAATCTCCTTTTATTTTGCAAGTTGATAGTATTTTCTGTTCACACCACTACCCCTTAAAAACTTTCCTTCTTTGGCAAATTCAAATTATTAAATATTGTTAAACATTTTAAAATTGTAAATATAAATTACGAAACAAATAAAAAAAAGTTTTATTGAGTTGTGGTGGCAGACACCTCATTCAATGTCCAACTGTCCCACTCAGCTGTTTCATGTCAGACTTTAATGATGATGATTTCTAAAATTGAATTGCGAGGCTCTTTTCAAATTTCAAATTCAAACTGATCATGATTTCTACATTGGAATGATCAGCTCTTTTAAAACAAGATATGATAAACTCTTTTAAAACAAGATGTGATTTCTATTTAAAATTTCAAAATATGATTTCGATTTTGTTTTTGAAATTTCATTTTTTAAATATTTTGATTTAATTTTTTAAATTCAATGTTGGAAACTTCGCTGATGTGTCACTCCCTGCTTAATTCTGAAAATTGTGTTCACACTACATGGCATATAAAAACTCTCTTTTAAAAATCGAATTTTGTTTTTTAAATCAAAAAATAAATGACCAATTGTGGTGGCAGACAAGTCATTGAATGTCCCACTGCCCATCACATTGGAATTGGTTAGCTGATTTAATTGCTTTTTGCATTGGAATTGACTCATCTGATTTAAAATTCGAATTTTGAAATGGAATGACACAGCTGTATTAATTGCTCATTTGATCTAAAAATTTGAATTTTGAAATGAAATGACTCAGCTGTTTTAATTGCTTTTTACATTGGAATTGCTCATCTGATCTAAAATTCGAATTTTGAAATGGTTTCAAATTTTGAATTTAAAATATGGATGGTGGGAAAAGATTTGAATTTAACAACACACCATAAGCTGCCATTTACTAATCAATCAATTTTTCACCAAAACACAATTAAAATTTAAAAGAGAAATTAATTTAAATTTGGAAATTAAATGAAAAAATAAATTAAAAATTTAACTTAAAAAATAATTCAAAAAAAATAAAATTCGGTATGAGTATTTTTTAAAAAAAATTTAATATAAATGTTTTAATTTATATGTATAACCAATTTAAAAAATATAAAATTTTAAATTAAAAGAGAAAAAACTTACTTTAAAAAAAAATATGTATAATTAATATAAAAGAATTTAAATTTTAAATTTTAATAAAAAATTAAAAAATTACATCTATGACTTTGTAAAAAATAAATTATTAAAATTTAATCACTATAAAAATGAATGACCATTTAGTGAAAAAACTTACTTCTAAAAAAAATGTATAATTAGTATAAAAGAATTTAAAATTTAACTTTTAAATTTAAAAGTTATTAGGAGATTTTTAATGCACATATTTCGATTTTCTTCTCATTCCTCACTTTTTTGAAATTCGAATTCTGAATTGATTTCAAATTTTAGATTTTAATTTTAAATTTCAAATTGTAATGGTGGAAAGGATTTAGAAATAAAAAATTAAATAAATAATAATTTCTTTTAAAAATCGAACTAAAAAATCAATGGAAAATTAAGTTAATCATTTATGGTGGCAGAGAACTCATTCAATGTCCCACTGATTTGTACATTGGAATTATTATGCTCTTTTAAATGCTTTATTCATTGGAATTGCTCACTCTTTTAAAATTCGAATTTTGAATTGATTTCAAATTTTGGATTTCAATTTTAAATTTCAAATTGTAATGGTGGGAACGGATTTGGAAATAAAAAATTAAATAAATAATTATTTCTTTTAAAAATAAAAATAAAAAATCAATGGAAAATTAAGTTAATTATTTATGCAGACAACTCATTCAATATCCCACTCATTTGTACATTGGAATTATTCAGCTCTTTTAAATGCTTTCTGCAATGAAATTGCTCACTCTTTTGAAATTTGAATTCTGAATTGATTTCAAATTTTGGATTTCAATTTTAAATTTCAAATTGTAATGGTGGGAAAGTATTTGAAAATAAAAAATTAAATAAATAATAATTTTTTTTAAAAATCAAAATAAAATCAATGAAAAAATAAGTTAATCATTTATGATGGCAGACAACTCATTCAATGTCCCACTATTTTTTTGCATGGATATTTGTTAGCCCTATTAACGCTGCATAAAAAAACAAAAACATTAAAAAAATTGTAAAATAACAAAATTATTTATATTGTAAAATAAATTCAAAATCTGGAAATATATTAAATGAAAAATTATGTGAACTTGATATGTGAAAAAAGAGTTCAGCATTTAATATTTATGCGGTGGAAAAAGTTATATAAAATAAATTTAAATTTAATATAAAATTATAGATTAAACAATAAAATACTTAAATTTATAAAAATATATTTATAGTCGATAAAAATTATTTAAAATTTCAAATTTAAAATAAAAAATAAGAAATGGCGTAATTTATACTTTACTAAAAATAAATTAAAATTTTAACATAAAAATTTAAATATACATGTATAACCAATTAAAAAAATATATAAAAATCATAAATTAAAATGGAAAAAAATTATATAAAAATATGTATAATTAATATAAAAAGTTTTAAATTTTAAATTTAAATAAGAAATGACAGTTAGAGGTGGAAAATTGAGCTCGGCCCGGAGGGGCGGCCCGCCAATATATTTTTATAATTCAACTGAAATTTTATCCTTCTTCTTTTATAATTAAATTACTAAATCTGATTTCAATTTTTGTAAATACAAATTTCTGAAATTCCAAAGACTAACGACACTAATCCTTGCAATAATAATAATTATTTATTATTATTTTATAAATCTGATTGTAGTAAATGAAAGTTCATTTCTGAGATAAAATATAAAAACCTAGATGAAAACAGTTGTGTTACAAATAGTACCCTTAATATAATTTACAAGGAAGTATTTCAAAGATTAATGTCGTGAATTTCCTTCTGTCTACTATGAGATAACATCACTCCTTGGTACAGATAAAGACAAAAAAAAAAAGGCAATGAAGTGCTTTTTTATTTTTATTCGTTAACGTTAGTTTTTTTTAATTGCTACTTTTTTTTACTCATGCACGAATCGGTTTTCATGCACCATGGTATATTGTTAACTGCTATTTTTGAACAAACAATATTCCATGGTCATCAATATATGGATGTATTGTTATAACACTTTTTATTTGTACTCACATGTTCATTTTTTTTTTTCATACTTTCATTTGTAGATTATTACTAATTCAATTCTAAAAGAGGATGAAGGATCACAAATGTAGGTTCGACATCTTGCATGTGTTGCGTTAGTTTTTACGAGACAAACAAATCGATTTTTTTTCCTCCGTGCAACGCACGGTAATATACTAGTAATATACAATGATCATACCAAATAACTAAAATTTTTATAACGTATATTATAAACTTATACTATTAGGTGATATACATAACATCAAATAGTCCTTAATCTTAGTTTAGGACTTTAACTATTTTCAATTTCTTTATATGATATAATATATATCACTTGACTTAAACTAAACTATTATTATATTATATTATATTATATTTTATTTCATTTTATTTCAGTAATATTTTTATAGTTAACATACAATGTAATCCGTAATTCCGTATTGAATTTGCTCATTGATCATCTAAGAATTGTGGGGCAAATCATGAATTATTTCCCAACCGAATCAAGGGATTATGATTTATTTTTTGGTTAGATGCGATTGTGATTTATTAGGTTTGCACGCGTTGTTATATCCGACGCCTATTTATTTATTCGGTGGTGTGTAACTCATTCTCATTAGAGTCAGTAAGCAGCATACACCTCTTCCTCTTCCCTCAAAACCCTAATACCAATTTTCCATGGCACAGAAGAAACAACGCCCTTCTCCTCTCGATGAACCACCCACGGCTTCCTCTTCCGAATCAGAGGAAGAAGACCAACAACCTTCATCTCGACAACACGAAGAAGAAGTAGCAGCTTCATCTGAAGAGGAAGACGGAGAAGCTTCAACTGAAGAGGAGGATGACGATGAAGAAGAAAATCATCAACATCCATCTTTGCAACCCTCTGCTAAAAATCCTCCACCCCCTCCTACAAACTCTCACCCCAAACCTTCATCTTCCGAGTCCGCCACTGAATCCGATTCAGGAACCGAATCTGAACCTGAACCCAACCCATCTGCTCCCGGTGCTGCGAACCCTAAAGTGAAACCACTTGCATCCAAGCCTATGGAGCAAACCCCCAAGGCGAGGTCTCAGCCCTCCGCCCCGCCTGCCAGGTCGGGGTCGAAGCGCCCAGCTGCCGACAACAACATGCATGCAACTGACCCTAAACGGTCCAAGAAGAAGGTAACTGTTTCTGCCCTTGCTGCTGTTCCTTTCGATAAGGAGGTTGAGGAGGATGGGAAAAAATCAGGTGATGACCCGAAGAAGCTGTTTCAGAGGATATGGAGCGAAGAAGATGAGATTGCGATTCTCAAGGGTATGGTTGAGTTCGCTTCCAAGACTGGCATGGACCCGATTAAGCAGGTCAATGACTTTCATGATTTTGTGAAGAAGTCGCTTCATGTGGATGCTTCCGTTAACCAGCTGAAAGAGAAGATTCGAAGGCTGAAGAAGAAATTTGAGACCAATGCAGGAAAGGGGAAGAACGGTGAGGGCCCTAAATTCTCAAAGGCTCACGAACAGAAATCATTTGAATTGTCGAAAAAGGTTTGGGCCAATGGAGATGGAGGGGTAGCCAATGGAGCAATGGAGAAGGCTAAGTCTAATGGGAAAGCTGCAAAGATTCTGAAAGAAGGTACTAGCAGCATTAGGAACGCTGCTTCTCCAAAGAAATCAAAACCTGAAACAAATCCCGAAACCAATCTGCCATCGCTTGATTCGCAGGAATCTGAAAAGATGGACATTGATATAATACCTGATACAAATTTGGCTTTGAGCGAAATGATTCGTTTTGGAAAGAGTGGGAGTCTGTTCGGGCTGAATGAGAATGTGATAAAGGGAGGACTGGAATTAATGGAAGCATCAAAGAGGGAAGAGTTGGAGGTGAGGTGGAATAAATTGCAAGTTGCTGAGTTAGAGTTGTTTGCGAAGCGTACACAACTTATTGGGGATCAAGCTAGGTTGATATTGGAGGCGTACAAGTCATCAAACCATTAGGGGTTGTGTTAGGTATAATTTTGTGGCCTTTTGTGTAATCCGGTATATGTTTTGGATTATCTTCTATGCTTTTTAATTTTGTGGCTACCATATAGTCTTGTTTAGTTATTGACATTATGCAAATATTATGGTTTTCTTTTGGAATTTTATGAGATATGATTGTCTTACTAAGTATTATTTATCAGGTATTGGAACTTTTATAATTGATTTTGTATTTCCTCTTTTGATTTGCAAGTATTTGCTAATTGACTGTGGAATTATCTATTTTTTCTGTTGTGATATTTCAACTTGAAGCTTTCACTATTAAAATTGTTCTTTTTTTTTTGTTCTGTAAAATATATATATATATCTGAATCGTGATGGTACGATTTTTTATTATCATAATATTGGTTGTTAAAGTTTTGTGGACATGTTTGTTATTTATTTTCTCTTCACTATTATTATGATCATTATACATAAAAGAATGTTAGTTTGAAGGATTAATATTTTGGTAAAAACTTGTGGTTACGGTCAAATGATGAGAATGTGATTTGAGAACTGGTGTGGTAGCAGATATCATTGTTTGTACCTCAATCATTGATTGGTGAATTCCTCAATCCTGAAGTGAAGTCTTAACTTTTTCCTAAATTGGGTTTATGGCTGAGGAAAATCATCAATGGGAGAATGCTTTGATCAGCATTAGAGTCTTGTTATAGCAGCTTGACATGGTTAATTTAAGTTGAGTACATTTACAGTTGGTAAACTCAACTATTAATAATAACGACAATCTCTAGTTCGAAATCTATCAACCCAGAATTTATATTTCTATCTAATTCCTAATGGCCAATGTTGCTAGAGAGTTGTCCCTGCACTATTAGGCCTCCTTAGATTGCTCCTTCTACCCATTTTGTAAACTGTTAATCGGGAAGGAGCACGCATAGGCCATATCCATGATTTTGTTTCCTTCATTGGTGAAGCAGAAATGGGGTAGTTCCATTCTTCCATAGCATTTTGGCTGTGAAAATATTTTTATGGTTTTAAAAAATTTGCATGAACTCTTTCTTCCTTACTGTTCTGCTAGCTTGAGCTTGGCTCCTCTGTATAATTTTCCTTTGCACTTTCCCATTCAAAGACAAGGATTGCAAGAATTCAAAATCGATACACTTTTTTTTTTGGATAGTTTGGGGAAAGGGTTAGTGTATCTGTTGGCTTCATAGATTAAATAGAGTATACCTTCATGTTTTTATTTTGAATTCAAAAATTACCAAGTAATCTCGTCATTGGATATAAATTTAGAGCCTCTTGAGTATGACTTTACGGAGGACTGTTAAGGTATGGGTGGACAAACTACCGGAGGCCAGACTTGAGAATGTCTTCTATCAGATTATGAAATGAAAGTGGTCACTGATCTCCTTTATTGTGGCACCTGTTCCTTTTTCTTGCTTGATGAACACTTTTACTTTATAAGCATGGTCCAATAGCATCCACCATCTAGAAACAAGGAAGAGTTAATAAAATTTAGATCAAGTGTTTCGTCTCTTTTTTAGTGTGTCATGTATTTGCAGCTGCACTCAACTCAACACGAATTGTGGTCATAAAATGTTTATGCCCAGCTCCTTTTGAAGTTGACTGCAGCTGCAAATCATTAGAGTTATGATATTCGCGCATACTATTAAGCTCTCATGCCAACGAGAACGTGTAATGAGCAATGAGTCTGCTACCATTTCTTTAGAGTATTTCTCGTGTCTTTCCTTATTTTTTTCTGCGTTCAGCTTCAGCAGTTCGAGTTGTCCATTCTATGTCCCATATCATTGTGTATGAAATGAGGACTTTTATCATTCTATGTTCCTGTTGTAATTTTATTTTCACTCGATCTTATTTCATGTCCCAATTATATGTTATAGGGGCTGATTACAATAGATCTGGACCATCAGGTTCAAAGCATGTTTGTCATTGTTTGGTAAAATTAAGGACCACTCTTCTCGGTCTATTTTCTAAATTGGCTACCTTTAGCACGACTTTTGGTCCAAGACGGAACGCACTAACTCCTATTACTTAAGAACTTTACGAACTTTTTTTTGGCAGCAAAGCCAAAACTTTCAAATACCAACCCTTCATAAGATTTTGGTGGATGGAGATTTGATCTCCACCAATCAAACAAAGCCATGAGATATATTGGGGCAAGGAAATCGGTTAATACCATCGACATTTTCTTCTCCTTCAAAGAGTATAATAAACTTTTTCAGAATGCCACGTTTTTAACAAATGTGTTAGGCAATGTCTACACTAGAAATACTGTAATATATTCGTTCCCTCAGCAATTTTTTTTTTTTGTTCATAAATTAAACCAGAATAGCAGGACTTCAAAGGATCAAAGCAGAAAAAGCATCCAATTGATGACAATAATATTTTACTACAACTTCAAATTGACAACTCAAATTTGGATACAAGGACACCATCGTTATCTGCATACAACCATTCACCTTCACGAATAAACGTTCCAGCAACATAAACAGGAACATGCTTTTCACCGTTACCCTTCTTGTTGGATTTGAGTGGATGAGATGCCAAGGCTCTGACTCCAATGTCACATCCATTGATCTCATCAACATCCCTAATGCAACCATTCACCACAATCCCAGCCCACCCCATGCTTTGTGCCAACTGCACCAAATTCCCTCCCACCAATGCACACCTCATGCTTCCTCCTCCATCAATAACCAAAACCCTTCCTTCTCCTTTCGTTTCAAGAAGCTCCCTAACCAACACGTTGTCTTCAAACACCTTCAGAGTAACAATGGGACCCGAGAATGCCCGGGACTGACCATAAATCTCCATCACCGGATGCAGTACCCTCAAATCACCACTCGTTATATGTGTTGCATTTGTGTCACAAATCTCTGCAGTTGGTAGAGCAGCCATATTACTGCTGCAGATAGTTATAGTAAAATCAATCAAGCTTAATTTGGAGTTACCCATTACTAACTACATCACAAAGTTATAGATAGAACGAAAAACATCAAGATCTCATGATTTTAAAAGGAAAATCAGGATTCTTATTCTTAAACACACAGTTTTAAAGAAAGGAGAATGTTTTTGCAAAAACAGTTTGGAACTCCAGTTGATTCGTGCTTATTATAAGGCTTTTAAACTAAACTCGAATTATGAAAGAGAAAAACAAGACCAGCGTATGCTTACCGAGAGGAGAAAGGAGGATGAAACTAGATGGATTGGATTATGTTGGTGTTGTAACAAGGACGATGAAGAGTGAAGAGGTGGAGAAGGTTGAATGAGATTAGTTCTTGGTTTGTGTGTCTAAGAAGGGCACAAACATCCAAAGATGATATGAGAGGATGTTGGTGTCCGTGCCACGAAATCATGTCGGGGGGATGACTTGCGTAGAAAATTCCTACGAATTAACTACAAAAAAAAATTCCCAACCACTCCTTTTGACGGCTGCAGGAAGGCTCTTAGAAATGGGACGAGACAAACACCCTTTCACCATATCATGCGGCACATATTTTTTATACGACGCATGCTCAAACTTTGACCAAAATAAATTCCATTTTGACCCTGTTCCAAATTATTTCATCAATTTGTTTTTGTTTAATCATGATTGGCCCAGAAGAAGATAAATTTATGAATGGAATAAAATATACACTATTTACTGACAAAAGCATTAAATCATTCCATTCAAGATATCTTTTGAAATAGAAAAATTTAATTAAAAATAAAATATATAATATACATATACTTGACCTTATACTCGAGTATATTTCGTATTGTGAATTTTTTTTGAATATTTACTCAAATATAAAACCCAAGTACTTGATTATTTACTGTTCCACACAATATACTTGAGTATATGAGTTATATACTCGAGTAAATATTCAAAAAATTTCCTCCGAAAATTTTCTAATGCGTAGCTCTAGAAAAGTTATGTAGAATAAAAAAACGGAATCTTATTCGGACACCTAAGTCAAAGGTGATGACCTTTTAAATTTTTACTCTAAAATTTACAAAATTTTGTAATGGCAATAGATTTTGTGATCCCACAAAGCTTTCCCCAAGTTACCCGAGTCAAGTCTACAATATTATGAGTATATGGCTATAGAAACTCGTTTGATACAAAAAATCTTGGAAAAATCAGATTTTTTTAGTATATGACTATAGAAACTTGTTTGATACAAAAAAAACTTATGGTATAATTTTTTTTCCATGAGATTTTTTGGATCAAACAAGTTTCTATAACCATATATTCATAATATTGTGGACTTGACTCAGATAACTTGAGGGGAGCTTTGTGGGTATCACAAAATCTATTGACATTACAGAATTTTGTAAATTTTAGAGTAAAGCTTCAAAAGGTCATAAATTTTAACTCGAGTATCCTAATTAGGTGTTTTTTTTATTCTACATAACTTTTTGAGAGCTATGCATTGGAAAATTTTCAGAGATTTTTTTTGAACATTTCCTCGAGTATGTGACCCATATATATATATATATATATGAGAAAAGTATTTCTCCAGTCACCGGAGATAAAGTTATCTCCAGTGAGCTCAAAATGACGTCGTTTTGGGTTATAAGATTAAAAAATTTTAATAACAAAGACTAATATAACCCTGCAATATATTATAATTACAAAAATACCTTGATTTTCGCCTCAAAATGACGTCGTTTTGAACTCACTAGAGAAAACTTTATCTCCGGTGACTGGAGAAATCCTTTACCCTATATATATATATATGTATATATATATATGAGTTTTATTAATCTCATGTTAAAAGAGATAAGTTATCTCATGTCATAAAGATAAACTTGTGGGCTCCACCAGCTGAAAAAAAGAAAAAAAAAAATGGCACAGTTATCGAAGGGTGTGTGGGAGAAAAATTCATCAGATGTAACATGAAAGTAGTTTTTCCCTTTATATATATATATATATATATATATATATATATATATATATATATATAATCTCAGTTCAATACAAAAAATTGGTGTCTGTTCAATAATAATTCAACCTGATTTCGAGTCAATTCACTGGCTTTCAATTTCAAACCGGTTAATCTCTTTACAGGTAAATTCACTAGACCTGTTTCGTTGTTGGTCTATTTCCTGGTTGATTTGGTATGATCAATTGATCCGATCTGATTTTAATAACAATGCTTTCTGTTTGTTAAGAATTAAAGTGTGATGATTTAGTCCCTCTACTTTCACTAAAAAATTGTTAGTGTCTTAAAATTTCAAACTATGCTAAAGACTCCTTCGATTTCTAAAACATTGATTAATTAGTACGGCCATTTTTCTCGAGTTATTAAACTTCATTTCCAATCTTCTTATTTTTTTTAGTACATTAATCTTGTTATTTTTAAGTTAGAAATAAAAAAGATTAAAAATTGAATTTTCACTAAAAGTCTAAAATGATTCAGGGGGCTTTTTTGGCACCACGTAATTGATTGTTTAATTTTTATAAAATTAATTTTCCCAAAATGGAAAACTCATATTCAATTTCAGTTAATGAGATTAATTTTGTTTATCGTTGAAATGTAAGACCGATATTATTTATAGTGAATCTCATTAACTGAAATTTATCTTAATTTTATTTTTGGAAATGTAAGATAAATTTCAGTCCATCGAGTACTGAGGCGCATATTACTTAAATTTCCTTTAAAGTGAATCTCCCAAATTAAAAAAAAAAAGTAAAAGTCGATAGTCAGCTACTGTATTCTCTTTACCATGGGGTCAATTTAATAGAGCATAAATCAGGCTTTGGTCAATAAAAATAAAAGATGAAAAAGAGAGAAGAAAACGATTGATGAACTAAAACTGGTTAATAAATTTAGATTGAATTACTAAATTAATTTTCGAGTTTGATTCAATATGATATACGGCGGTTTTGAGAAACAATTTTAGCAATTCACTCTGTGTCTTCTCGTTTATCTTAGCACCTAAAGCTTATTAGTTGTATTTTCTCCTGAAAGTGGTAAGGAAAGGTGGAAAGCAAAGTCAGATACATTAGAACTAGTTTTATTTTATATGGAAAGAGATGAAATGGTAGCAGTTGGTAGCAAAGGAATTGAGTAAGTGGAAATAAAAGGGCTTCGGTTCGATTCTCACATATCACTTTTGAGAAAGGTTTAAATATCTTCATCCCGACCCGCCCTACACTCCGGATTAGTTCCATAACCGGCTCATAGAGTAGAAGTTTGTGGGATATCAGAGGAAACCAGATAATTAGGATTGGATTAATTTAAAAAAGAAAATTATATGGAAAGAGAAACTTAAAAAAAATGAATTCTTCATTCAATCAAACTATTTGTGTAAGTGAAACAGAAAAGGATAAACAAATAAAAAAAAGTTGTACACTTCATATCTAGCAATTAATAATGTTTTGGTGAAATTCTATGTTATTATAATCTTTTGGTTTTGGAAACTAAATGATGATTTAAGTGTTTCAGCTTATGACGGGCCCATGTATAACTTGCCTCCCCTCTTCCCTTCTAGTGGCTGTGGCAGAAACGTAATAGGGAACAGTGAACAATCCATGGATGAAACACAGAATGCCTCCTATGAATAGAAAGCGATGGTTTAATATACCACAAGATTTTCTTGACCTTGAGTTGGTTAATGTGCCTATGATGAGCATGGAGAATGCAACTACTAATACGATCCTGCAAATTGATGTAAATTGATAGAATGAGTTTCAAGTTTCAACATGAATCCATGCATAAAATGAAGAGAATGAAACCATTATGCACTAAAGGCAGATATTATTGTTAAAAGGTAAGGCAGACTCTGATTAATTAGAAATCATTTTAGATATAATTGCGACATGCAAGAATTAGAAACATTATTAACCAACATAAATTTCGTGTTAAGAATCAATTTAAATAGCAAAGGGAAATAGACTTGTGGAACATGAAAAAGGCTTACCATGAGAAAATGAGAAAAGCCACTGCTAATTGCCTGTTAGCAGTAGCTGCTTCGTATTGTTTTTTGGAACGCACACAAATGCACCCACCAAGCAAGTTAGCAATTGAGTGAGCGAGAGCCAATAGAATAGTAGCTGCCAATCCTAGCTTAAAAGCTTGATAGCTTGGGTACCTACACTCAAATATCCACATCTTCATATGCTTCTCCTGTTTTCATTCCAAAAGATTAAAGAAAGTCCCTTAAATGTTCTCAACAATGAAGCTTTAGGGTCAGTCTAAGAGTACCTTGTTTTGAGCTTTTTCTGCCTCAATTCCAAGTATGCCCGCAACAATGTCCATGATCATGACAAGTATGCAGATAAGGAAGCCAACGTTTTTAGCCATGATTCCCTGATACAAAAGTGATATTGTACAAGTGCAAGAGAAGAGGATGTGGTAGTGCTATACCTTGTTGATATATAGCTCTTGATTATTTAGTAGTGAAGCACTTTCCAATATTCCTTCCATAGGGGACACGGAAAGCAGAGTATATATCACCAGCGAAGGAAGCGACATTGATATGTGGTTTGGAAGTATGACCAGCTATGAAGTATTCTCAGGTGGTGTTTGGTTCAAGAGTTTTTCATTCTTTTCCAGCAAAGTGATTCCCACATACTCAATTGTCCATGTTTGGTACACGGATGTCTTCAATTTTACCCATCAAAGCGAGTTGCCTAGCTATCATGTTTTGCATGTAAAAAGCAACAAAATGACGGTTTAAGCATAACAAAAGGTGATATTTGTCTTTGAAACCGGATAAGTGAAAAGTGCTACAAATGGGTAACACAATTACCCCTACATGTGAAAAGGATAATTGGTCCTATAGGTTTATTTTTAAAAGGATAATTTTGTAATTTTAATAAGTTTTCCAATCAATATTTTATCTTCAACCAAACACACATTCAGAAATTTCACTCAAATTTTTTTGATAAAATTTTACCCAACCAAACAACTTTTTTAAAACTTTCCTATTTAACTCACTTTCTCTGCAGATCCCTGGTAATTACATTCCCCTAGTAAATTTTTTTTTCACCTGAGCCAAACACCCCCTTAAAGAACCTCTATTTTTACTTAAAACCAAGTTTCTTCAATTTCGTTCTTTTTCATAAATTCCTTTGGTCTTAGTAGTCGTGGGAAAATATATTAAATGTAACCAACTTGTTTCAAATGATTGTTTTAATTAAAACGAAAAGATATTATGTCTACTTTACTTATTTCTTTACAACATCGTTAGATCATAATCTTAACTAACAATGAAAAAAAAGGGAGAAAAGATGAAAATCAATTGAGATTTTATGATTTAATGATGTTAACGAGAAGTGGATAGAATAAGTATAAAAAAAAGGTAAGAATATAATTTCCTATCCCTTGATTAAAATAGGAAGGCAACACATTTGAAAGTTTATATCTAATTTATAGGTGTAATGGCAGTCTGTCTCTGTCCTAATTTCCCAAAGGTGGTAATAAGGCTTAGATTAATATATATTCCCCCAGCAATTCGATAGTTTGGTAAGGATTTTAGCTTTTCCTGTAGTTTTATTCTTTACAGCAGAAGTAGTCAGTTTAATATTTAGGAGAAATGAAAATCTAAATTCATAAAGTCAAAGGGCTTTTTGTATAAATTGGATGAATTGCATAATTAGATGGATGAATAGTGAATACTAAGAGGTTCCCTTTTTGGATTGGTTACGGCTCTCGGAACGATTTCAATATAATTAAGTGATTTCATTGCTAGAAATCATTGAGTACTTGTTGAGACTAGAGACAATTTAGAATGTGGATATCAGCGACGGATGTGGTTGCTATATAAATTTATAATATTTCTAGACCCAAAATAATAAAATTAAGCTTTTTCTTTTTGTTCCGGATGGCCCAAGCACTCGAGCGGCCCAGTTGCTCAGGCCCAATCCTCAGCCTTGTTCCGCGTCAACCCTTAGGGCTGACGTGGACCCTCACGATCTCCAAGACTGCATCACGTCCAAGAGATACACCAAAATATCCCACTTTGAGACATTAACCGCAAAAGACAGTCGCCATAAGCACTGCAAAGGAATCTGCCCCTTTGCTCAGTGCTGACATCGCCAGGTGCAGTGGTTGCAGCACTGCCATTGTGGCAGCGCCAACCACGCCTAACATAGCCATCAAGGGAGCACATCCCAAGGAGTGTTGACCCCCACCTCACCAACCCACACCATTTTCCTTATAAATAGCCCTCATGGGCACAACAGGATCTTCATCTTTTATGTACTGTTATTATGTCCATTTACTCTTAAGTCATACCCTTACTATTTGTCTGCCATTGATATCTGCTTACTTGTTCTTGGAATAATACCTTCTAGCCTGGTCTTTACCTCAGCTAGAGGTACAATCCATATAACAACATTACCCTCAAAGGATACATAGTGGGCTCATAGAACCAAACGGTACACTTTTCAACCACCCGAAGAAGGAGATTTGTCCTAATCATTGCTATACAAATAATTAATAAAAGAAGGAAAGAGTCTGAAGAATTCAAACTGTTTGCTTGAATCCCATGTATAACTTTTGGGATAAATTTATTAATAAATTTATGAATTGTGAACGCACCATATAAAGTTGTTTATTTGATTATTCTATGATGATGTCACTTCCCTTACATTTTCTTGTTGATTAATTCAATTTCAATATTATCAAAGAAGAATATTTTAACTGAAACGATCCGATGGTAATGGTACTTGCTTCCTCATATGGCTTTATTGTTTGCAGATTAGAAGTTAATGCCTTATCTTGAATGTTACAAAAATTTATTGGATATTGCTTGAATCTGGAATAGTAGATTGAGATTCTATGAGTGTTGATATTATAAGATGATACAATTATAGTTGAACAATTGTACATGGTTCAACCATTGATTCAAGAAGTTCGAAGTCAATCAGTTTTATTGTCCAATAAGTATGACTCAATTGTTAAAAGAATCAGTAATTTTAAATATAACAAATTACGATCAAATCCAAGTCTAAATGAAGCAACATATATCATTGTGATTTTTTTGACAAGAAAAGAAATTCTACACATTTGACATGATTTGATATTTAAGATTTGAGATGTGTTTTGAATGATTTAATTATAATTATTTATTTATTTTTGGAAGTTAATTATTATTATATTTATTTTAGGATTTTGAATTTTGAATTTTGAATCAATTTGTAATTAGTTCATGAAATGATGCTTATGACTCTTATTATAGGAGTTGAATTTTATTTTTTGTTAATAAGAATTGAGAACCGAAATATTTCTCTTTTGTGAAATCTTAACTTTTTGTTTAGCCACATTTTTTCTGTGCTTTTGGCATCATTTGGTATTAGAGACTAGGTTGCCTTCGGCCAATGGCTTAACAAGCTCGCGGAGGCCGTGGATGGCAGAGTCTTGAATGTAAGGGACGTTGATTCGTTCTTTAAAAAAATGGACAACCGCATCGATAGACATAAAAAATAAAGAGCTTGGAAGGCGAATCAAGGATTTGAAATGACAACTTGAGCAGGTGTTGGACAAGAAAATTCAATTTTTGGAGCGACTACTTGTACGACTCAGAGTAAGAAAATCCAAGATTTGAAGCAACGACTCGTGCGAGCCTATAGCGAGAAAATCAAAATTTTGGTGCAACAACTTGTGGAGGCACAAAGGATGAAAATCTAATATTTGTAGCGGCGACTTGCATGGACAAAGTTGAACGTTCAATCTGAAAAATGAATGAAATCAGAGGGCACATCTGATAACGAAAAAGAGGATGTGTCAATCCTTTAGGAATTCTAAACTAGTTACGAAATTGGGGAGTACGACCTGAAAATCAATCCACTTTTTAAGATATCGAGTTGCAACTCAATATTTTTGATTTTGAAGTCTATAACATAATCCAAATTATGATAATTATCTGATTTACGATGATTATCCATCTTTTGATGAAAATTCAGTTTATGATAATAATCCAGTCTATGATAAATCTGATGGAGAATTTGATGACGAAGATGTAATAGATGGAGAGTTATCAATTGAGTGTTTACCTAAAGAGATTGATATCAATGAAGATGAAGAAGATTCAAGGACGAATCTTTTCCTAACAGGGGAGAATGATGCACTTATAGTTGACCTCCAACCATTGATTCAAGAAGCTCGTAGTCAACTAGAATTGTGGCCCAATAAGTATGATCCAATTTTTAGAAGAAGTCCTAATTTGAAATATAACAAATTACGATCACATCCAAATCCAAATGTAGCAGCATATATAATTGTGATTTGTTTGGTAAAAAAAAGAAAGCAATACATTTAGCATTATTTGAGATCTAAGATTTGAAATATATTTTGAATGATTTAATTGTAATTGTTTATTTATTTTTAAAATTTAATTACTGTTACATTTATTTTAGTAATTTTTCTTATTTTTAGGATTTTAAATTTTAAATTTTGGATCAATTTGTAATTAATCTATAAAATGGTGCTTATGACCCTTATTATATGAGTTGAGTTTATTTACTTGTTAATAGAAATTGAGAAAAAAAGGACCGCTCTTATATGAAATCCTAACTTTCTGTTTAGCCATCTTTTTTATACGCTTTGGGTATCATAAAAGTCTATTTATTGGAGATTGCTTGAATTAGATTTAGATTCTTAAAATCATTATGAATGATGAAGTTATAATATAAAAAGAAGGAAGAAAAGAAGATAATAAAAATTGTATAATAATCTCAATTATATAATAACACGATATAAAAGAACATAATGAACTTGGTGAATTAAATTGTTGATCATTTCATTTTGATAAGCTATGTTTTTAACCAAGCTGAACTAAACTGGGGTTGTAACATCTTGGGAGTTGACGAAGGTTGAGAGTGATTGTGGTGCGAAAGGGCATGGATAAGGAGCGGCTTCTGACAGGATTTCAACAGGAGGTTACATGAATGAATCGAATTGACACCCGAAAGAGAGAGATTTCAAAGACTGTGCAAGTATGAAACTGCACAGTTTGGGATAGCTTATAAGAATTAATTGATACTACCTATACTAACAAGATGCATCAACTTTTCAGTAGCCCAGAACGAAAGAACTCCATAGTTAAGCATACTTAAATTTCTATTAATTTTTTTTGGCAAGAGGGACAATAAAAAAATTGCTTTATATACATATTACTATCCAAAATCAACATTGTTTTTCACGTTTTGTCCTCTAAACTAATTAATCCATTTTTATTTTAAAAAATAAAATTATTTTATGTACTGTGTATGATATGATTTAGTTCGAATCATTCAAAAGTTGCAATTTAGAACTAGTTTGGTGTTGATGGAGTTTTTGTTTGGTAGTAATGAAACTCAAATTTTCACTTGATCGAAGACAATTAAGCTCTTTTACATTTTATCGTAATGGTTAACATGGGTTGAATAAACACACAAACAAATAAATCGGATAACTTGCGTTAAATGAGAGGAGAATGAGTTTACCAAAAAAAATAAAAAATAAGAGGAGAATCAACTAATCCCCTTGTATAACTCAAATTTAATAGAAGAGTAATACTTTTTATGACAACACGGCACACCACATGCCAACTTAGGCACATATCATGTTTGCTTTTAAAAATAAATAAATAAATAAATGTGCTCTTGCAGTTACAGTCAAAGAGACCAACTACCAAAGGCCTTACAAATCACGCCAAAATGCACATGAAACTTGAAAACTTAGGAGGTGTATTGATTGAGATTTCAAAGGATTTTAATAGATTGTTTTTGGATAAAAAAATCCGTTGGTATTCGATTAGGATTTTAATAGATTGAAAAAAAGTCACGTGGTATTCGATTAGGATTTTAAAGGATTATTTTAGAATCCGTCTAAATTCGTTGGTATTCAATCAGGATTTTAAACAATGGAATCACAATCTCGTGGTATTCAAAAACCCGACAATTTTAATGGATTTTTTATTGGATTGGATTTCGTGAGACTTTTTAGTGAAAAATATAAATAAGATGTCTCTCTCACAATCTCACCTCAACCCCTAGAATTTCTTGAGATTCTTCTATTACAGTGTTTTTTTCTTCCTTTGGTAGGTTGACTGCTCAAAATTGGGTTCCGCCATGGGAGTTTTGTCAAAACTAAAAAAGAGAGAGGATATTTTTGAGCGATTTTCATCACAAAACAACCCAGAAACAACAAACCCACGAGATTTTAATATAATCTATTTCAAAAATAACATATTTTTGAGCCATTTTTGAGAAATTTTGAAAGTTTAAAAAGTGATTTTTCAAGCGATCGCGATTTTTCTTGGCACAAAAATGTGTGATTTTTGTATTAAAAACAACATAAAATAGTGAAAAAATAACATGGGAACTAAAACCCTCAAACCAATTTTCGTTTTACATTAATGAAACAATATCAATTTAAGGAAAGATTGAAACTTTTATAATATGAACTCTATATTTCGTAACAATACATTCATGAACGAAATTCCTGCACTATAGGAAACGATTTCGAACAATTTTTGTGTCAATAGATAACTAAAAGCTTGTTTCTCAAAAGCACCAAAACAATTTAAGGTTTCAATGTATCGATTGAATTTTTTTTGAGAAATTTCTAAACTTTCATGTAATTAAACCCAAAATTTCAGATTCATATGGTTAGAAAATTCTAAAAACCCCAAGGTTTTCAAGATTAATTGCAAAAAATTCCAAACGAAATTTTATCATAAACTTTAGGTTCTATATGCAAATTTAAAGTTATTTTTATAATTAAAAAAATAGGGTCTTATAATCATATATGCATAGTTTTGATACCAAATGAAAAAAAATAATTTTCAACCCATTAGATATGTGAAAATCTGTTATTTAGTAATTTTGAATGTTTGGTAAAAATTATATTATATTTTACTGATTGAGAAAATTATATTAGGTTTTACTTTTTTTTATTAATTTCATTGCATTTCTTTGTTATTTTTTATGGGGAAGATTATACTTACAACTTATTTTTGTTTACAATCTTTTACAACCATACTTCAGCCGTTTATTTCCGTTAATCAATGGTTATTAATTTTGCAAATCAAACTCATTAATTAATATTTAATTTGCAATGAATGATAACCGTTGATTGACGGAAATCAACGGTTAAGATATGGTTGTAAAATGTTGTAAACAAAATTAGGTTGTAAATATAACCTTTTCCTTTTGTATTGACTCTTGTAATTTTGAATGTTTGTTAAAAATTTATATGATTTTTTAAAATCTTATAAATCGTTATTGTCCTTTCAAATCTTATAAATTCTATTAAAATCTTTTAAAATCCAATCTTATGAAATCTTGATGGTAAAAAATGTCTTTAAAGTCTCTTCAATTCTAAAATATCTTTTAAAATCTGTATGATTTTTTATCTCAAAAAAGTCTATTAAAATCCAAATCCAAACACCCCCATTATTTTCGCTTTCTTAATTCTTTACGAATAATACAGATTTTTCTTTCACTTACAGGTTACAGCTTTCTAGCTTCTACCAAGGGTGTGAACAAGTAAAATATCTCTGATCCGGATTATTTTATCAAATTCAATTGGAGTTAAAGTGCGGTGGTAAATTTATTTTATGAAGCCCATATTAGACAATTTTAAGTTGGAACAATTTAAATCAGATTCCAATTAACTAAAAAAATATCGATGTTATATCTAATTGTTGCATTTTATAAATCAAAAAATAATAATAATAACCATAATTTATAGTCACATTCTGTTATGAAGATTCCAACATGTAAAAGACACACTTAAATGGCCAAATCGAATATATTTGTGTGTGTCATAAGAAACACACCTGAATTAACCTGGGACCATAGGAAATGCCCTCAAAACATACATAAATGTACTTGTACTTTTTCTCTCTCTTCATCTGTCCCTCTAACATGATGCCTCTGTGAGAAGCACTTATATAGCCACCAGCCCACCAATTAAGTGCTCAGTTTACAAAGCCTTTGAAAGACATTTGTTCAATACCTGTTAATTAAGATCCATGTTTTTCCAGAAATGGAGTATGAAGATGAAGATTGGCTATGTGTTTCTCTGGATGACTTTTCTCTTGCTACTGAAAATGGTAGTAGCAAGGGAAGGATGAGTAGGAAGAGGAACTATGATGATGAAACAAGAGAGTACAAATCCAAGAACCTTGAAACTGAGAGGAGGAGGAGGGAAAAACTCAGTAGCAGGCTCTTGATGTTGCGGTCTTTAGTACCTATCATCACAAATGTAACCAACCAAACTACCTAAGCCCTCACTTTCTTACTTTGATCCTTCTTTATCTTACTGTGTTTCATATATTTGTTTAACAATTGCACATTAAACATTGTAATTTAAACTTATTATAAAGTCCAATTTTGATATCAGATGAACAAAGCAACCATTGTTGAAGATGCTATCACCTACGTCAAGAAGCTTCAAGATAAAGTGCAGAGTCTCAGCCAAGAGCTTCTCCAATTGGAAGCAACTTCAGAGGAAACTGGGGAGACAAGGATTGATGAAACTGATGCTGCAGAGGATATGAAGAATTGGGGGATACAGGTCATCTACAAGATCCTTTATTTAGATGAATAAATGAACATTTTCTATAAATGTAGTTATTTACTAATGTTTGCAGGAAGAGGTTAGGGTGGCACAAATTGATGGGAATAAACTCTGGGTCAAGATCATCATTGAGAAGAAGCGGGGAAGGTTCAAGAGACTTATGGAGGCCATGAATAATTTCGGCATTGAGCTCGTGGACATCAATCTTACAACCGTAAAAGGAGCATTTCTGATTACAATCTGCATACAGGTGACTCTAAGAATGATGAGAATCAAGCTTGCTTTTCACTACCTGTTACTACAATCTCACCATAGGGTATTCTATGTTATCAGACTCGAAGATGAACCTAGATTCATCTTTGTAATATAATATGCATATGTGATCTTCAGAAACTTGACCGTGTGCTAAAATAATATTCACTTTAATTGTTTTTAACTATGAGATTTTTCAGGAGCTGAAAGGCAAGGATGATGAAAGACTTGCAGTTCATCAAATCAAGAATTTGTTGGAATATATTATCAGTAGCACATAGAGCAAGTTGAGATGAGCTTTTAGTTATTTTGTTGTCAAGTCATCTTCCACGAGAGGATAGTACTAGTTAGCACTACTAGCATATGAGAAGATAGAAGATAGTTGTGTAATTAAAAAATTAGAAAAAACTACGTGACTATTAAGATTCTGTTTTCTGTTAGTGTTGTCTAATGCAGATTCAGTGTACTGTCAGCTAAACACTAACATGCAGTATTTTTTTTTTGTTGCCTAAGTTATTTTAAAATCTGTTCATTTTCTTGCAACCCATCAATCCCTTCATTTAAACCCTCCCCAAAGAGGAGAGACATGTTAACATCAACCAAAACTGGACACTGATGTTAGTAGCTGAAATATTTTGATTAGATAAGAGAAATGTTTTTTTTAACTGCTTAAAAAGATCACACAAACCTAGACCAGTTTAAATTAAAATAGTATACTAATTAATATAAAATGAGTAAACTTACTTCTAGATATGGTGTCAGCTCATAATACTTTTGCAGTGGAAATGAAAATCAATAACAGATTATATTTTTGGTTGGCAATAACTGCCTACTTTATGTTTTATTTTACCTTCCATCTGTCTGAAGATTAAGCAGAAGTTATAAAGGTTGAATGAATGACCTAAGAAATGAAAGTGATCCGACTTAATAGTGATTGTGCTGTTATTAGAGAACTGAAAAAAATGGATGGTGGGGAAGGGGAGAGAGAGACAAGAGCCTGCGACTGCTCAAACCTTAAAATAAACAACAGAACCAATGCTGTCTACTTGCCGCTGAAGTATAGAAGTCTACACTGTACTTCAACAAAACTGAAGCTATGTACATAAGAATATGGCTCCAGAATACAAGTTCAACATGGTTGTCCAATATCAAAGAAAAAAAGTTGTCTTTTATCAAGGACTGGTACCAGTACCAGTTAGGATTTAAAATGAGATAGGTTTCCAATGCTGATGCTGAGGAGAGAGCAACTTTATACTGAATATTTGAATCAGACCAAACAAGTTAACATCACATTTCTTTCTCAGTCTTTAGAAAACACAACAAACGTATATAAGAAAGGAATTCCCTGTAGACTGACATTATTGACAGGCCAGATTATCAAATAAATTAATCAAATTAGACCACTTTTTGAATCGTCTAAAAGGGAATAACAACTTGCATATAAACGAATTATATAATTGAAAAACAACTAGATGATAATGGTTCCTATTTCCTCATATAGGTTGATTATTCAAAGATCTGAAGCTATTTAATTATTTGAGATTGCTTGAATCATGAATTGTAATTATAAGGATTTAGTAAAGAGAAAAAATAAATAAAATAGAGATGGAATAATATTTTCGTTTGAATAATGATATGATAATAAAGTAATAAGCCTCGTTTACCAAAAAAATAGTAATAAACCTTTTTTTTTTTTGGTAATTGTAATAAACCTTTTTATATTAAATAAAGAACATTTAAAATAAAAAACAAATAATGAAATATAAGAAATAAAAAACCAATTCAAGAGATTATAAATTATATTCTAAATTATTTCAAAATATAACATAATATTTATAAGATATTTTCTAAATATTCTAATACAAAGGATTCAATATATATTTATGGAAACTCAAAAACATGTTATAATAGATGAATTTCTCTACGTGAATGGTCTAAAAAGGAGAAAAACAACTTGTATATGAAGGAACTATATAATTGAAAGCAATTGGGTGATAATGGTTTCTGCTTTCCTCATGGGTTGACTTTTGAAAGATATGAAGCTAATGTTTAACCATGGAAAAAAAATTAATTTAATACTTTTTAATAAAATAATTATGCATTTATTACAGTTTTTGGAATAATTAGAGATCTATTGCACAATGTGACGCCCCAATGGGGCATCACTCATCATGTGTTGACACGTGTCATTTTTTTTTCAAAAAAAAAAATTAATTTAACATAAAAATTTTTAAGGCCATAACTTTTGACTCAGTTATCCAAATCAGATAATTCTTTTTTTGATTCCACATAACTTTACGAGATCTACGAAATGACATCTCATTTGATATATTTTATTTCTCACAAACATAATTTTAATTTGCAAGAATGGTATTATAAGAGCAGTTAAACCTAGAAGCCTCTGAGTTATGCGTTTGTGATTTAATATAAAAAAATAAATAAAATTTTGATTCGTGATTTATTTTTTTATTATAATTTTGTTTTTACTATAACAAAAATTTGGTTTGTGATTTAAATTAAAAATAAAAATAAAAAATATTATTAATAAGGAAAACAAAATAAAGATTTGATTTGTGATTTAAACTAAAAAATTAATTTGAAAAATCTGTAGAAATAAAGAAAATAATTAAATAAATATTATAAATCTCTAAGGAAGAAGGATATTATTTTTGAAATTAATGATTAATGCTATAAGCTTCTGGGCTATTATTCGTGGTCTAAAATTAATGATGACTTATGAATGTTTTTCAAAAATAAAATTACCTAAATTAGGCGTGATTGCCTCTTTATTGAAACCCAATTTAGACGTGATTGGTGACGTGTCAGGTGTTGATACGTGTCACATTTTTAAACTCAGAAGCCTATGAGTTCTGCGTTTGTGATTTAATATAAAAAATAAATCAAGATTTGATGTGTGATTTAAATTAAAAAAATAAATTTTTTATATTAATAAAAAAAGTTTGGGTTGCGATTTAAATTAAAAGTAACAATTATTATTAATAAGAAAAACAAAATAAAGATTTGATTTGTGATTTAAACTCAAAAATCAATTTGAAAAATTTGTATTAATAAAGGAAATAATTAAATAAATATTTTAAATCTCTATGGAAAAAGGATTACCTGATTTAAATTTAAATTATGTTTGTGAGAAATAAAATATATCAAATAAGATGTCATTGCGTAGATCTCAAAAATTTACGTGGAATCAAAAAAAGAATTAACTGATTTGGATACCCGAGTCAAAAGTTATGGCCTTCAAAAGTTTTATGATTAAATTATTTTTTTTTTTTGGAAAAAAAATGACACGTGTCAACACCTGATGAGTGACGCCCCATTGGGGCGTCTCCTATAATGTCCCACATCGATTGGAGAGGGGAACGAAGCATGTCTTATAAGGGTGTGGATATCTCTTCTAGTGTGAGGCCTTTTGTGAGGTGTCCCAAGAAACAAAACTGTGAGCTCGACGGTGCTTGTGCGCGGGGCAAAGCAGACAATATCATGCTATAGGGTTTGGGGCTGTTACATCTCCCCTTAGAGTGAGACGCCTCAATGAGGTGTCACATGTGACGCCCAAAAGGGGCGTCACATTATGCAATAGATCTTTAATTATTTCTTAAACTGTAATAAATACGTAATTATTTTATTAAAAAGCATTAAATTAATTTTTTTGCCCATAAATAGAATAAAATTTAGGTTCAGATCAAATAAAATTTGCAGCAACAATTATTTTTCCCAGCTGGATTTTTTTTTATTCCAAGATCCGATTTCATATCCTAGTGTAAATATGTTTGCTGTAACTTTTTCCATCGGCAACAATAGCAAAAACAAGAAACCCTAAAATTTATTAGAGACTTGAATCTGAAATTGTAGATTGAGATTTTTAAGTCATTCTAAGTGTTAAAATTAGAAAGATTTAACTAAAGAGGAAAAAGAAAATAAAGATAGAATAATATTTTCATTTGTACGATGATACAAAACAAAGTAATCATCCATCTTTATATTAAATATGCGATTTCTTAAATAAGTAAATAAATAATGAATAATAAGTAAATATGGAAATTAATTTTAAGAGATAATTTAAAATATTAGAAAATATCTTCTAAAAATTCTAATTAGATTGAAATTATAAAATTAATGAACAGCATGTGACACGTTAATTTCTATATGTGAATGGTTTAAAAAAGGAAAAAACAATTTGCATATAAAAAAACTATCTAATTGAAAAAAATAAAAATATATTCTTTGATCGTATACTTTCTTTTGTAATTGGAAGGGTACGTGGAAATATTCTATATATATTTCTTCTCTCAAAGCCTTTTTGAAGGCTGAACTTTTGAGAGCATAAAGAAAAGAAAGACAGAATGTTCGGGTTTTGGCATTTTCTCAAGAGGACACTTGTGTGCAAATCACACCCAAAACAAGTTGATGATGCAGAGGCAAGTAGGCACCAAAACAGTAATCATAGAACAAAGTCAGATAAGCTTAAGCGTTCAAATATCATAGGTTTCATCAGGGGGAGCAACAGGCACTTAAAAATTGTACCACAATGTTTCACTCCAAAACACGAAGTGGGCATTGACATCAGTGATCCCATAACCCCTGAAATTGTTCATGATAGCCCAAACAGTGACATTAGAGTTCGTCGATGTTTTTCTTGTCATCGAAGGAATAGCGGCAGTGAAGGTTCAGAAGATCCTCATACAAGGCTGATAGTTCAGATGGAATCTGATGGTTCTTCAATATTGATTTGTCATAAATGTGGTGAGAAACTAAAAGAACTTGATGCTGTTGAAGCACACCATATCTCTGAGCATTCAGGTAATGACTTGTAGTTTCGCATTAACCAATGGCTTAAGTGTGGAATCGTTATTAATAGATATTTATGTAAATGTTGGCATATCAAGAAGAGTTTTTCAGTGTATTTGTTGCAATTAACATGTATTCACTGGACTTTCTCTTCTTTGCAGATTGCATTCTGTGCAGTTTTTCTTGCTTTTTTGGTGAATAGAGCTATGATTGTTTTGAAGTTTTACAAATTCAATTTTAGAAAATTTCCGTTGAGTTTTGGCTTAACTTTTATGTGCATTGTATTTTTAGATTCTGTAATGTAAGCTTCTGATTTTCATGTCCTGAACAATGACTCAAAATCCTCAGCCAACTTTGGTGACTGACTGAAAATAAGATAGTATTTATACACTTAATATCACTCCACTTCTGATTTTTTTTTATTTTTTTTATTGTATTTGAAATAGGGCAGCTGATTGCTATCCATGTGATTTGTATAAACAAAAGCTAAATGGCTTTCATCTACATTTTGAAGAGAACAAAAACGAATGGAAGCACTTTTAAGAACCTACTTTAACAACATGTACTATTTTGCAGTCACTGAGATTCAAGAAGATTCTAGGCAGATTATTGAAAAAATATGTGGAATAAGCTCGGTTAATCCTGAAAACATGTTGGGGCAGATTGATTGTATCTTAAAAGTCCAGGGCATGCCAAAAACCCTTGCTTGCTTTGAGGAATATAGAGAAATGGTTAAGATTAAGGCTGACAAGCTACAGAAGAAGCACCCGCGTTGCCTAGCTGATGGAAATGAGCTTTTAAGGTTCCATGGCATAACTGTTGCATGCCCTCTTGGAACAAATAGTTCTTATAGCCTTTGCACTTTAGAATACTGTGGTATATGTCAAATCTTGAGACATGGCTTCTCCACCAACAAGGAATCCCAAGGTGCATTAGGGGTCTACACCACTTCCACATGTGGTAAAGCCTTTGATTCCATTAGGCCATCTGAGGAGAGACCAGTTCCAAGAAAGTCTGTTGTAGTGTGTAGAGCAATAGCTGGGAGAATTTATAGTCCTCTCGAAGAAATTCAAGGAAATGTTGATTCAGGATTTGATTCATTGGCAGAAAAAAAAAGTGGTCATTCAGATGCAGATATTGAGGAACTCTACCTACTAAATCCCAAAGCTCTGCTTCCTTGCTTTGTGGTAATATTCAAATAACAAAGTATGAAAGTTAAAAGGTTCTACTCAAGCTTAAGATGAAGTTTTTGACGAGTACCTCTTAACGTGGAGGTTCTCATGTCAGATTTGTGATTCTTCTCAAATATTTTAGTGCTTCCATATATTTATTTGCTTGGGATGTATAGTTAATATTTTGATGCCTAGTATGTTAAATGGTGATTAAATTCTATAAAACAGTGTGGATGCTTGCTTTGCTGGTATTTTTTCATTAGGAAGGGCTTGTGGTGCGTCTTTGATCAAGTGTGTTTGTTTAATTGTCTATTGGTTAGGTAATCAAATAGGATTCATGTGCCAAATTTTATACCTACGGACAACTTTTTTCCCTTTTAATTTAGGGTTCGCTTTTTGTGTACTCATATAAGTTATCTGCGGTATGTTCAATACGATATCGTTTTAGGAGAGAAATCAGATGTTTTTATAATTTTAATTTATTTCAGGATTATTATAATCTTTATAATTATAATTTTTTAATATTTCAATCCCAAAATGACATCGTTTTGGGAGTAAATGCAGATAACTTATCTGCATTAACTGCAGAAAATGGTAAAATTATTCTGCATACAAGTTTTAATAGTTTATTTTGACACTGTTGAATTAACATATTTATTTTTGTCATATATTTAGGTTTTTTCACCCTTTTTCCCTTCACTAATTAATTAATAACCATTTTGTCCCTGATTCGAAACTATCTACCAATTTGTCCTTCTTTAATCGACTACCTTGCATTTTTAATCGATTAAATGGTCAAAACAGGCAAAAATGGCTGTTGGGAGATTTAATCGACTAAATCTCCCTATTTAATCGATTAAATCCCCCAACAGGCAACAAAGGGAAACAAGTCAGTATGATTTTTTAATCGATTAAGTATGGAGATTTAGTCGATTAAATCTTCCAACAACCATTTAATCGATTAAAAATGCAAGTTAATCGATTAAAGAGAGACAAATTGGTGGATAGTTTTGAATCAGGGGCAAAATGATTATTAATTAATTAATGAGGGATAAAATGGTCAAATAGCCCATATATTTAACTTTAATATTTTTCATAATTGTTTTTAGTCATATGTTTTTGTTTTATTTTAATAATCCGATAAAAAGATAACAATAGAATTAATGCTAGGCTATTCACATACAAAAAATAAGATAAAAAATAGAACACATATTCAGGCTAGTTCAATCTTTTTATTTTTGTCATATATTTAACTCTAATATTTTAATATTTTTATAAAAAAAATTAGTCATATGTTTTTGTTTTATTTTTAATAATCCGACAAAAAAATAACAGTAGAAATGCTAGGCTATTCACATACAAAAAAAGAGATAAAAAATAGAACAAGGCTAGTTTGCATTTTTTTTATATATCGATCATACTTGTTTCTTTGAGGCGAGTCAGCTTCTCGGATATCCTTACAATTTTCAATTCTTTGAGTCGGCTATAAAGCTAATCCCGAGTTGGAGCTTAGTCATAATTAAAGCTCTTCGACCCTCTCCCAATATGTATTTGGTGGAAATTAAACTCAAATCTCTCCCCTATCTACTTAGCCTGTATTGCTTACTAAGCTACATATTAGGTTGGTTTGCCTTTTAGAATAGAAGCAACGACTTTTTTACCCTTTTAACTTTTATTAAATAAAAAATAACCACTTTATTCCCGTTCCCAAACTATACCTCAATGTGCCCATCTTTAATCAATTAAAATAGAGACTTAATCGATTAAGTGTCAATTTTTTTTAATCGATTAAAAAAGCCTGATTGGATGTGTTTTTTTTTTCAAAAGTTGTTTTTTTTCTTAAAAAAAGCACTTCTCATTTTTAGTTTGTTTGGATGTCTGCTTTGAAAAAAAGCAGAAGTCATTAAAAAAGTCAAAAACTTACTTTTTTTCAGAAGTTAAAAATTTTAACTTCTAAAAAAAGTAGAAGTCAAAAGTCAAATATTTTTTCAAAAGCTAAATATTTTTATAAAAATATAAATCATTTTAACTTTTACAAAAAACACTTGTAAAATAAGGAAAAGATAAAAGTTACTTTTGTTTAGAAGGCCAAACAAAGGGTTCTAAGTCTTGCCTTATTAAATCCTTATTTCTCAGTTCCTAAAATGCTTCTTGCCTTTTCCATCGGGTATCCAAAAAATCAACCTTTCTTGCAACCAGAAATAGTTCCACAACTTGTTTCTTCAAATTAGATTGACCCAGCATGAAGCATGGTAATAAGGTAGATAATTCTAGAATTCACCTAAAAACAAGGAAAATCCTTGGAATAATAATACTCACACATGTACTTGAAACAGAAGTGGCAAATTGTTCTGCAAAGCCAGGGGTTCAATTCTAGGGCAACCTATGGTAAGGGATATGTAATCCTACTATAAATCTTCAGTAAGATTGATGGTCTCTCCTAAATAGGGATAATCTAAACTTCAATTAACAAAAAAAAATACACCATCTTAATTTTTCAGCCAGAAAAAAAAAATGATATTCATGAACCTTAAAGAAATGAAAATCATCAGGAGGCGTCCGAGAAGATTGAATGGCGGATAATGTATAGTTGATGGGGTTATCTTTGATCAGAGCCACGACCTTGCATCGGAGCACGTCTTCATTGCTAGGTGCAACTGCGAGAACTGCTATGGGAACAATTTTGAGATTTAAAACAAAGGAATATTAAGGGATATATATATAGATATAAGAGATAAAATGGGTTTAAGAAGAAGAGTGTGAAATAGACAGACTCTGATCTGTGAGTTTGACGGTATTGTCGAAAGCAGATTGAGGTCATCCATATTTAATCAATTAAAAATAATATGTAATCGATTAATTTTTTTTTTTGACACTTAATCGATTAAGTCTCTCTTGTAATCAAGGGACATATTAAGGTATAGTTTTGGAACAAGGACAAAGTAGTTATTTTTTATTTAATAAAGAATAAAAGTGTCAAAAAAAAAACCTTTAGAGTTCATTTTAAATTTAATCCAACAATACAAATTTATGGATGTATGTATAATTTCATTTTAGGGGAAAATGTGTAGCCTACTTTGAACTAGTACAATTTGTAAGGATGAGAATGGGCCAAAGATGGGAGTGTGTCACTGGGCTCATCATAGATAGTCCATCGCGGATCATGCAGTTAAGCCCTTTCACTAAACTAGTTGGACCTGTCTGTATCTTTATTTTTTTCTTCACTAAGACATTAAAATTATTATTTTAGATAACTTCGTTAAATAACCTGAACTTGTTTATATATATATATATATATATTCACTCAATAATAATAAAAGAGTGAGATGTGTACTCTTATTTATTTATTTATAGCAGTAGTACTGAGTTTATTATTTAGGAGATGGAATATTAAATTCAGAAAGTCAAAGGGATTTGGTATGAATTTGGATAAATAGCAAAATCAGAGGGGTGAATAGTGGATACTAAGAGGTGCCCTTTTTGGATTGGTTACGGCTATGGGAGTGATTTAGTAATCAACCATATTTGTAATCATAAGACATTGGATTTTCAGAGCTAGAAATCATTGAGTGCTGTTGAACCTAGAGAGAATATTGAAAATGCGGACATCACCAATGGTTGTGGTTGCTATATAAATTTATAATTTTTAATGACTCAAAAGAATAAAATTAAACTCTTCCTTTACAACCACATGAAGAAGTCCTAATCATTGTTGTACAAATAATCATTTAAAGAAGGCAAGGCCGGTCTGAAGAATTCAAACAGTTTGCTTGAAGGCCCATGTATAGACTACTGACTTTTGGGATAAATTTGTTAATATATTTATTAGTTGTGAAAGCACCATATGAAGTTGTTAATTTGGTTATTTATTATATAATGATGTCACCCCCCCCTACATTTCCTTGTTGATCAATTCAATTTCAATGTCAATGAAGATTATTTTAATTGAAACAATCGGATGATAATGGTCCTTGTTTCTTCATGGGCTGATTGTTCAAAGGTCAGAAGCTAATGTTTAACTTTAAATGGTAAAGAATTTATTGGATATTACTTGAATCAGAAATTGCAGATTGAGATTCTTAAGTAATTAAATGGCTTAAAATTATAATGTTTATGGCAACTCAAATGGACTCTATGTATAACATGCATCTTGTCACACGTGGAATTTCTCCATATGAACTGTCTAAAAAGGAAAAACAACTGCATATGAAGCAACTAGGTAATTGAATAAAATTAGATTCCTTGATTGTATACTTTCCTTTGCAATTGTAATGGCACGTGGAAATATTCTATATATTTCTTCTCTCAAAGCCTTTAGAAGGGTGAACAATTCAGAGAATAGGGAAAAGAGACACACAGAATGCTTGAAGTTTGGCCATCTCTCAAGAGGACACTTCAGTGCAAACCAAACTCAAAAGAAGTTCATGATCCAAATGCAAGTAGGCACCAAAAAAGTAATCAGATAACAAAGTTTGGTAAGCTTGAGCGTTCAAATATCAAAGGTTTCATCCAAGGAACCAAGAGGAACTCAGAAAAACAACTAAGTTTCAATCCAAAACCCAAAGGGGGCATTGACATCACCAATCCCATAATCCATGATATTGTTCTTGATAGCCCAAACAGTGAAATTAAAATTTTCCGATGTTGTCCTTGTCCTCAAAGCAATAGCGGCAGTGAAGGTTCGGAAGGTCCTCATAGAAGAAGAAGACGGTCAGCTACACCTTCTAGGACAATCAATCCTGTCGATTACAATGAACCATATGTGTGCTCTAACACAAGGATGTTGGATCAGATGGATTCTGAGCATTCAGGTAATGATTTGTAGTTTCCTAGTTGAATTGATATGTCTGAGTTTAAGGTGCTTCCGTGCTAGAAGTGTTCATCTTTATTCATTGAATATAGCGTTATGTAAATGTTGTCATATCAAGGAGAGTTCTTAGGGGATTTATTGCAATTAACATATGTTGACTGGACTTCCTCTTCTTTGGAGATTGCATTCTGTGCATGTTTTCTTGCTTTTTTGATGAATAGAGCTCTGATTAAAATTTTTCTTCATCTTGATTTGAAGTTTTACAAAATCAATTTTAGAAAATTTCTGTTGAGTTTTGGCTTATTTAATTTTTTTTTTTTTTTGTGTATTGTATTTTTAGATTTTGCAATGCGAGCTTCTGATTTTCATGTCCTGAACAATGATTCAAAACCTTCAGCCAACTAACTTTGGTGACTGGCTGTAAAGCATTTAGCCTATACACTTGATATCACACCACTTCTGATTGTATTTGAAATAGTTTTGCAGCTAATTACTGTCCATATGGTATGTGTAAACCAAAGCTAAATGGCTTTCATCTACTTTTAGAAGGGAACAAAAACGAATGAAAGCACTTTTTGTATGTGCTGAAATAAATACTATTAAGAACCTAGTTCATCAACATGTACTATTTTGCAGTCATTGAGCTTCAAGAAGAATCATCTAGGCAGATTATAGAAACAATATGTGGAACAAGCTCGGTTAATCCTGAAAACATGTTGGGGCAGATTGGTTGTATCTTAAAAGTCCAGAGCATGACAAAAACCCTTGCTTGCTTTGAGGAATATAGAGAAATGGTTAAGATTAAGGCTGACAAGCTACAGAAGAAGCACCCGCGTTGCCTAGCTGATGGAAATGAGCTTTTAAGGTTCCATGGCACAACTGTTGCGTGCCCTCTTGGAACAAATAGTTCTTATAGCCTTTGCACTTTAGACTACTGTGGTATATGTCAAATCCTGAGACATGGCTTCTCTACCAACGAGGAATTCCAAGGTGCATTAGGGGTCTACACCACTTCCACAAGTGGTAAAGCCTTTGATTCCATTAGGCCTTCCAATGAGAGACCATTTCTAAGAAAGTCTGTTATAGTGTGCAGAGTAATAGCTGGGAGAATTTACAGTCCTCTTGAAGAATTTCAAGAAAAGGTTGATTCAGGATTTGATTCATTGGCTCAAAAAAAAAGTGGTCAATCAGATGCAGATATTGAGGAACTCTTTGTACTAAATCCCAAAGCTCTGCTTCCTTGCTTTGTGGTAATCTACAAACAACAAACAATGAAAGTTAGAAGGTTCAACTCAAGCTTAAAGGGAACTTTTTGATAAGTGGCTTTTAACGGAAAGGTTCTCATGTCAGATTTGTGATTCGTCTGAAATATTTGAGCTTCCATAGATATATATATTTATTTGCTTGTGATGTATAGATAAAATATCAATTCAAAGTTGTACAAGATTCTTTCCAATTGGATTAACAATGACTTCAGCTGTTGCAAGCAAGAAACAATGATATATTCATTGTTATTAAGTTAATATTGTTTTGGAAACGAGATTAAAGTTTGATGCCTGCTATGTTAAATGATTATATTCTATAAAACAGGGTGGATGCTTGCTGGTATTTTTTCATTAGGAAGGGCTTGTGGTGCGTCTTTACTGATAAAGGGTATTTGTTTAATTGTCTAATAGTTAGGTAATCAAATTGGATTCATATGCCAAAATTTCTACCTATGGCCAATTTTTGTCCCTTCTTTTATTTTATTTGTAAATTGGTTTCTAAGTGCTCGCTTGGTGGAGAATTGGTAAAATTATTCTATATACAAGTTTTAACAGTTTATTTTGACACACTTAAATTAATCTATTTACTTCTGTCATATGTTTAACTAATAATTTTGCATACAATTCATATTTTTATTTTCCAATCATTTGTTTTTGTTTTATTTTAATAATCCGATTGAAAGATAACAATAGAAACGCTAGACTAATCATATGTAACAAAATACAAATAAAATAAAATTAGAACACATAATTATAATGGGCCGAAGAGAGGACTGTTTCGCTGCGTTCATTATAAATTGTCCGTCGCGGGTCATTTAATTAAGCGAGTTGGACCTGTGTGTATCTTTATCATATTAAGATGACTTCATATTTTTGTAGATATTTCACTCAATTATAATAAAGAATATTAAAAAGGAAAAGTTATAAAAAATTAGAAAAGCAAAAAAGGAATTAATATGATAAGAGGGGAGTGAGATGTGTACGCGTATTGGCCGAACCTTTATAACGAATGCTGTTGGCGTGTGTTCCTCTCAGTCACATTCTGTTTTCCATATTTTGCTGCAATCGACACGCAAACGAAGCCATTGTTTTCTTTATCTTCGAAGGGTATGTATATGTACTATGTCTCTCTCTTTCTTCTATATGTTAGATCTGAGCCTCTTTTCCTCTTGTCTACTCACAATTTTTAAATTCTTCAATGTATTATTGAGATTGCGTAATATAATTAATTATAATGCATTGGAGTCAAATCCAAAACAAACACAATCAGATTCGCATCCTCTCTAGGTATATTAATGTCAATTCACTCTGGTTTTTTCTTTCTTTCTAAGATTGGATCCATTCGACCTTGTAACAAGAACAGATTGTGTGATATTGTTTTCGATTATCATATTCTTGCAATTGAAAAATCCTATTCTGTGAATACTTAGCTGGTGATTAGTGACGATTTGTGAATTATGTGCTTCTTACAGTTACAGAATATTTTCAGGAAAGGAAAAACTCTGAGTCATACAGAAACTGAAATTCTCGATTTTCCTATTTTGTAGATCCTCGTTTCTTATTAGTTAATACATTAACATTACTAGCTGATATATGAGTAAAAGGTCCTTTTCTGGTTGTCTTTTGTAGTTTTGCTGTTTTAATGATGAGTCGTTCTCTTTTTTTATTGCGTTTTGGTTCACTTAAAGCTCTTGTAGTATGAATAGTGAGATCTTGAATGTATGTTGTTTTGGAGAGGTTGTTTGGTGATTAGAATGTTGTTGAGGGTTTTGTAATTGTCATCTCTGAATGCGCATTTATGGCTTGATTTTCTGAGGTCCTCTGTTTGCGTATGGCATTTAGTTATTCCTTATGAAGGATTAGGTGTGACAGACTGTTTTATTTGAGGGAATACCAAGTCATTTCATAGAAATTCTAAATTTCCTCAAAGATGTCAAGTGGGTCCAGGAAGAGCTCACAACCCAAAACCTTAAAGTATTGGGTTCATGAGTTCATCTACTTATATTCAGTTCACTTAGCCTATTACCAATCAATTCACTTATATTCAGTTTCACTTATATTCAGTTCATAGTCCATTACCAACCAATGTGAGACATCACACTTAAATATCCCAACAAAAGATTCTGAACTAATATCTGGGCTTGATCTCATGAGTTTTTTTGCTTCTCCTAGTCACCAAGTAACTGATGTTTATTTACCCTTAAAAAATGTAACTGCTAATTGATATTGAAACTCGTTATTGTATTTTCTGTGAAGCCAAAAATATGTGCTGTTATCTGTGCATGATTGTGTAGAAAGAGGGAGAGAAAGGTCGGATTGCAATGCAAACTTGATAAGTCATAATTTCAGGCCTTACATAACATTTTCATAGAATCACAACTTTACTGGTGTTTGACAATTGACATGATGTACAGCTTCAGGCGGACGGAAGAAGGTTGTCGTAGAAGCCATGGTTCTTGACTCCATTCTGTCTTCTCCTGCTATGAAGTCTCCATCTTTCAGGAGGCAGTTTACGAAGGATGAACTGGGAAGTTGGTCAACACTCGTCCAGAGGCATCGCTTCCTCTTATCTGCTCTTGTTCTCCTAGCTATCCTCTGTACTGTTTATCTTTACTTTGCTGTCACTCTGGGGGCCAGTGGCTCCTGTTCTGGGTTGACTGGAGCGCAGAAAGCTTCATGCCATATGGAACATGTTAAGGATTCTATGGCCAAGGGTAAACTGAAAATTCTTTGATATTTCAAATATAATTATGAAGAATTCTTTTTCTTCTTTTATTTCCTCCAGAGTATAGGTGAAATGAAATCGAAATATAGTTTTCGGCTATAGTGTGATATGTATACATACTGTTTATCTCAGTATTTGTGAGCTAAAGTGTACAATACTCGTAGAAAGCAATTTCTTAGATACATTATTATGTTAATATTGGTGATTATGTACTTGTAGCGGATATTTAAGTTTTTTAGCATCGTAGTAACTAAATGAAGTTTGAGCTTACCTAATGTTTTTGGCTGGTTCCAATCACTTCCAAACATCATATTCCTTATGTTTGTCTTATGTCTGACACGGTGTAGGGACCTTTTCTGAAACTGTCTAGTATTCTGTATAGCCGATTAAGAATAACCTGAATAATTCTCGCTATGAGTGATACTATTTGATCTATTACTTTAACTCAGTTATTTGTGGTGGTGTGATCACGATGCTTTAAGTATATAATACATAAGTCCTATTGCCAAAAGGGAAAAGCTGAGAAGAATATTTGTATTTTAACCGTATTTTTTTAACATAGCAAACAATTTTTCACAAAGCATTATTCTGAATTACGTCAAGAAAGTAAGAGCTAAACTAAAAGTTTGGAAGACGTGAATGTGATTTTGATATTTATAGTGCCTTACCCGAAATAAAATTTTAAACTAGTCAGGAGATAAAAACTCCCATTTGCAACTTGCTCGTTGTGGTATAAATCCTTGGCTAAGCACCCCAAGATGTTCTCAGAGCAAGAATATGAGAAAGAAAAGGTATAGGAGAGGGAATTATCTTATGATTGGGCTTGCGGTTACACTTGGTTAACTCATCTTTAATATGGTCATATTTACCGCTGTATTTATTACGAATAAATACAACATATCATGCATGAATAGATTGATAAAAATATTTTGTTTAATAAGGATCATATCATAATTACTAAAATCCTAAATGGGTTGGACACAATTATTTGTTGTTGTATGAATAGGTTCGCTTTTTCTGCAGTAAGTCCAATACGATGTCGTTTTGGGACGAAAATTATGGTGTTTTTATAATTTTAATTTATTTCAGGATTATTATAGTCTTTATAATTATAAATTTTTAATCTCTTAATTCCAAAACGACGTCGTTTTGGAAGTAAATTCAGACTTATCTGCATTAACTGCAGAAATATTTTTCTATTGTATGAATTACAACAAATCTTGCATGAATAGATTGAGAAAAATAATTTGTTTAATTGTAAGATCATCCTTTTTAACAATGGTGTGGGTAGGTGTTCACATCGTAGTAATATTAGTCGCATCGTCAATATTGACTAAATCATATTGGTGGTGACAATTATGATACTAGTGGCAGGTGTGATTGCAGTAGCAGTGAAGGGAAAGGCAATGGAATCGAGCAGTTAAGGCACGAGTATGGTAATTATTTATGATGAATTTGATTGAAAGCTCATCCGATTTCGAGGAAATTATGATCTCTACTTGATGGAGCGGGCATTTTTTTTAATAAATTATAACCCATTTTTTATAATAATTATTTCAAGATATATTACCTATTATCTAATTTGATTTTCATTTCTATTCCAACAAACCATTTTAATAAACAAAAAAAAAGATTGGAAATACACGTAACCTTAAAATAATATATTATTTTTTGTTGTTGTTGTAAGATCACAAAATATTATCACACCTTTAAAGTATGAGATTGATTTTCGTTCTAGTGTTAAATTTACCTTGATTAAAAGATATTTTAAATTGTTTACCAAAAGAAAAAAAAGATATTTTAAATCATTTTCAGTTTTATGCAATTGTGATCTCTAGTTGATGGAGTGGTCATTTTCTTGATAAATACTAATCGCTTTTTATAATTATTGCGAATAAATAATTAATAAACGGTTATCATATATTGCGAATTAATAATTAATATCTTAACCGTTTATTTCCGTCAATCAACGGTTATCATTTATTGCGAATTAATAATTAATTAATGAGTTTGATTTGAAAAATGATAACCGTTGATTGTCGGAAATCAATGGTTAAGATGTGGTCGTAACATTGTGCGTAACATTATTTATGTGTCACAATATCCTATCCCATTTTCATTCAATCGATCAAACCTTTTTAATAAACAAAATTAGATTAGAAATACACGTAACCTGATAATAATATTTTAATATTTTTTAAGTAAGATCACAAAATATTCTCGTGCCTTTAAGTATGAGATTAAATCTCGTTCTAAAGATATGATTTTTAATTGAAAAAGGAAAAATTAATTTAATAAAACCTCACAAGATACTTACTCTGTTGTAGTACTGTAACATCACGGGCGCTGACGAAGGCAGAGAGTGATCGTCGGTGCAAAATGACACAAACAAGGAGCGACTCCTAGCAGGCTTCTAGGAACGGGGTACATGAATAAATCGAATCAACACCCGAAAGAGAGGAATTCCAGAGACTGTGCTGGTATGGGACGGTACAGTTGAGAATAACTTATAAGAATTAATTGGTACTACATATACTAACAAGATACATCTACTTTTCGGTAACCTGGAACGGAAGAACTCCATTGTTAAGCGTGCTTGACTTGGAGCAATTCTGGGATGGGTGACCTTCTGGGAAGTTTTCCCGGGAAGTGTTCGAGTGAGGATAAAGCACGCTGAAAAGTCTCGTGTTAGTGTGTAGGGACAGTCGTTGATCCTTGCAAGTTGTCAGGCATTACAAGTGCCTCTCTTCCAGTACGGTGTGGTTCGAGGACAAACCAGGCGGAAGCTGGTGAGCATGTAACATCCCAGGCGCTGACGAGGGCGGGGAGTGATCGCCGGTGCGAAAGGGCATGGTGCGAAAGGGCACAAATAAGGAGCGGCTCCTAGCAGGCTTCTAGGGACGGGGTACATGAATGAATCGAATCAACACCCGAAGAGAGGGATTCCAAAGACTGTGCTGGTATGGGACGGTACAGTTGAGAATAACTTATAAGAATTAATTGGTACTACCTATAATAACAAGATGCATCTACTTTTCGATAGCCCGGAATGGAAGAACTCCATAGTTAAGCGTGCTTGACTTGGAGCAATTATGGGATGGGTGACCTCCTGGGAAGTTTTCTCGAAAAGTGTGCGAGTGAGGACAAAGCATGCTGAAAAGTCTCGTGTTAGTGTGGGTACAGTCGTTGATTCTTGCAAATTGCCAAGCGTTACAAGTACAATTTTTTTAAAAGATTTTTATTGTATTTGGTTTGATAGGTTTGATTGTATTTGAATTAAAATTTTATTTATTTTTCATTAAATTTTTGAAAATTAATTTGAAATATTTAATGCTATTTTATTAAATTTTGAAAAGTTAAATTCAAAGGTTTGACTCTTTTCATCCAAAAAGTTGTGATAAATTTCAAAAACAGATTTAGTGCACAATTTTTTGAGATTTTCCAAGTAATCGATTTTGAGATTTTTTTTTATAAAAACTATGAGTTTTTTTTGAGTATTTCTTCTTAAGAGCATTCAACACACTGTGAGTTTTTTTTTTTTTTTTTTTTATAAGTCTATGCAACGTATTCTTCTGAGTTTTCCTTCCGAAGTCACATTCAAGAAAATTGAACAACCAAACCTAAAAAGATTAATTGAGCACTCCTCTTAGGTTTGATTTATATGGTACCTATATGTTTATTGATTAGAAGCGTGTGACGTAACCTTAAACTATTTTTTCATAATATTATTTTTATTTAAGTTATTATCAAAGTAAATTATAGGGATATAATTATTTAGTGATAATTGAGAATTTGTACTTTAGAAATTATAATTAAGATATCTAGTGATAGCTAGAGACTTGTATCTAAATGTAGTTTTGAGTAATACTTGTACAAGGGTAAAATATGTTATAACTTGTTGAAACATTATAATCAAATTTTTTTTCAATTGAATAAAATATCGCACTATTCTTAATTGCTTAAAATTATAATCTTTAAATTTACATTTATTAAATTGAAAATTTTTATACAACTCATTCCACCCTTTTGAGTGCACATGGACAAACAGATATAACATCCATAGTGCAAGCTTTCAAAACTGGTGTATAACTTCAAAGTGTCTAAAATAGCTAAATAAAATATTCAAAATATTACCTATAAAGTTGACCTAAGTGTTAGTTTTGTTTAACTAAATAGCGAGTTAAGTCGATGTCAGTTCGTCACCAATAACGGCATGTGGAATTTGATTTCAGATTTCATTTCACTGAAAAGCAAGTTTGTGTTGATTTTCCCTTTCCTTTAGAGTGGGATCCATTGCCTACTAAATTGGTCAAGCACGCTACCTATAATTGGTGGCATGAGTAACGGAAAAAGGGGAGTGCCAAGCTAATTCAGACAATTAAGATAGCTACATTGTTCGCTTTGAAGTATGAATTCCTATAATTGCCAACACCAATGTGCATGCTCAGAATTTTGTGTACTCATGCTTGTGGCGTTGGGTCTCCCAACATGTCTCATTTGTTTTTTAATTTATTCGGTAACCAGAAAACTATAAACAAAATTGAATAGAAACCTATCGATATTGGTCTTGCCAATGCCAATTAAACCAATGAGGTATATAGTTTTTGTATATTGAGTTTACAATACAACCATATATGTTCCATCTTATATTCTAAGACAAAGCCATTCTTTGGCAACTTCTGACACGTGGCTGCTTCTCCTTCTGACACGTGTTTGTTTTCACACTCCACAATTAGAAAAGTTTCCTTTTTGGGTAATTCAGGGAATAAAAAAATTCAAAAAGAAATTATAATCTGGACTCAAAATTGATGGCCACGATTTGCTGTCCAAAATCAATGGTGCAGATCTGTTCTCATTTTTATTGGGACACAGCTCATCTTATTTTCAAATTCTAAAAATTAACACACAGCTCATTTTATTTTTAAAATTTAAAAACTGACACCTCAATTAATGTTCACCTACTTTCTCCGTTGGAATTGTTAAACGTTTAACAAAACCTACACGCTTTTTCATTTTTTTTAGTCGTTCTTCTTCTTCTTTCACATCTTCTTCTTTCTCCTGTTCCTCAAGATCCTTGCCTTTTCAGGTGTTGACGATCTTAAGCGCCGGATCGATAGCTCTCACTCTGAAATCCTGGATCTCGAAGCTTCTCATTCGCGTCTCCACAAGCATTTCAAGGTTTCTTCTTCTCACGCTTTCTTGCTCTCCTTGGTTGCATCAATTCAATAGGGTTTGTGAAATTCTTTTTGTGTGGTTACTGA